AAGAAAGAAAAAGAAAGAAAGAAAGAAAGAAAGAAAGAAAGAAAGAAAGAAAGAAAGAAAGAAAGGAATCCAGATGAGATGATAGTCCAAATGATCTCTGGATGGCATGCCTAGAATCCTGGGCATCTGGGTGGTATAGCAAACATAGATAAAAAAATAATTGCTTTCGTTTTAGAACTGTCTGAAGTATAAGGAGTCATGTAATCTTAACTACAAGGGTGTGCTGAAAAGTTCTCTGCCCAGCCAAGAAGGAAATGGCCTAGAACTATGAAACTAACTTGCTATTCTACATAGTCACACTCAAAGTTTGACACACTTGGCACATGGTTTCTCTATTTTCTTAACCCTTCCCAAAAAATTCTAATCTCTGGTCACTGAAATACTGCTCTGCTGCTACTATTACCTCTGAATCATTTATAAATTTCTTTCCTTCCAAACTCTTTTTAAGATTTGGAAACAGGAAATAGTTAGATGGGACAAGATCTGGTGTGTATGATGGATGGCCTATGCACTCAAACCCAAATTCTTCAAAATATCCAACATCTTGCCAGCCCTGTGAGCAGGCACATTGTCTTACAAAAAGAGAACACTTTTCTGCAGCTTCTCTCACCACTTTTCCTTCAAAGCCACCTTTAATTAGCACACCAAGTTAGAGTAGTGTTCTGCATGATTAATATTCTATATGGCCTTTCTGAAGATAGTCAGTCATCAAAATATCTTCCTTCATCCAAAAAACTGGCCATGACCTTTCCTGTCTTGATATTCTTTGGCCATGGAGAATCTGAGTGCTGCCACTGCAAGGACTGTTGTTTGGTCTCCTGATCATAGCAATGTAACCATGTTTCATCAACAGTGACATGTTATTCCAAAACATTATCTCTAGATAGCTGAAAATGCTGCAAAATCAACTTGGAGGTATCCACTTGATTTCATTTCTGGTTAGGATTTCAAACATTTTGGCACCCATTTGGCTGACAGCTTCTACATAAACAACTGTCAGTTTGCCAAAATCAGATCATGAACGTGCTCAACAATTTCAGGAACTGACATTGTTGAAGGTCTCCCAGAGCTTGCTGCATCTTCAATTTCAAAATCTCCATGCTAAAAATTGGCACACCATGTCCTCACTGTTGAGTATGATGGGCACTCATCACTCAATATTTGCATCATATGCTCATGGATTTCTTTAGAGTTTTTGTCTGCAGGAACAGGAACTTCATGATGGTCTTGAGTTCAGCACTTTAAAATCCCACACTTTTCACTGACATGGTTCTATTAGTGAGCTGAAAAAAAAATCTGAAATTAAAGCTATGATCCTGCATATTGGGAATTTACAATACAAAAGAATACCCTTTCAAGTTACTGTAACAAAATTACACTCAGATTTTGGGAAGTCGGTCAGGCCAAGAACTTTTCAGTACCCCTTTGTAGACTCCATGTTATGAAGTTACACTTATAATCCTGTGGGATACAAGCAGGAAGATAACAACTAAAATCAATTACCGATTCCCTGCCAATTCCTACTCCCAATAATAGCATATCCTGAAAGACACTGCATGTATTGTAGATTAATGGTGTAACAGAGGCTGAGTTAATGTACTTGCGTGACTAGAAATTCTGGAGCAGATCACCTAAGGTCTCTTTAACTTTGGCAGTGCTACAGGGGTCATGTTTTCACATGAATGAACAGCTCTTGAATGATTTGTGGCTGAATTTCTCAAAGTTGTTAGGAACAAAAAGGCTTTTCTTTGATATCAAGCATGCACTACTACTGACTTTGCCAATCCTCACTGCCACCAGCTGTCCCTACTATGGAGAACATTATATCTGTATTTAAATTAAGGAAATATTTTCGGATATGTGTACATTATTAAGATTTTAAATGTCTCTTAATGCATAAGCAAATAATGGCTAAGATTCAGTTCTGACACAATGCCTAACCACAGTTTATTTTTAATGATAATTTACACTAAATATAATTTAGAATCCAATCATGATTTGAAATTCTACATGTACAGGCAAAGCATCAGTAAGAGTTGCTTGTCTCCATTGCTAACAACAATCTTTATGATGCATTGCCAGTACATTTATCTTTCTCTGAGTTTTACAGGTGTGGCCATTCTGTCAGGTACAGCATGCCCACAAAGTCTTCTTTCAGACACAAAGACAGATCCCAGACTTAAAGTCAAAAGGACTGCTTTTATTGCAGTAAAGAAAACATAGCAGACAAGTTCATGACTTCTTTGACAAGTCTGAAGTTAAAGCACATTGAAACACTTTTATAGAACATAGCAATGTCCCTCCCCACAAGGTGGTGTAACTCAGTGATTGGTCACAAATTCCCACGCTTCGGCCATTCACATGATGTAATGTCCTACTGTCCGGAAAATCCAACTAATGGCAGAATGTGTGTGAATCCATAGCTTCCCAGAGACAGTAGACAAAACAACCTTGAAACAACATCTGCACTCTGTTTGTGTGATGTATCGCGAGGGACTCGGATCACATTGATATCAATATACTCACATATATGCATCTAACCTATTTACCAGCTTAACATAATAAATCCTAAACCCATCACTTATTTAAACTATCAAACAATCTACCTATACATAAAACACCTTATAACCCAACTCATTATATATTTAACCATCTTTTTAAACTCAAGCCTCTAGCTTTAGCCAAGGCAAGAACATCCCACACATTCCAAAAGCCTTTCAGTTCTCAGCCAGCATGTTTCCCCTTTATAACTCATTAACCCTTACAGCACAACCTCACAGCTTCAAACCTTATAGTTAACTATATCTTAGCAAATCTCATCTCCCATAAACTTCAATCAAAGCAAATTCTGACAGGAAAGCATTAAGCCAGGGGTAGGCAACCTAAGGCCTGGGGGCCGGATGCGGCCCCCCGAGGCCTTTGGACTGACCCCAGGCCAGTTCTGCCACCGCCGCTGCCCACCATGATGATATTGATTATTGATGTTATTACTTGTTCTTGAGGTTTTCTTGGCAAAATCTCCACAGGGGTTTTGCCATGGCTTTTCTGGGAGAGTGTGCATGCATATTTTTTTAAATTTTTATTTCTATTTATTTATTTATTTATTTTTGGTGCTTTGGCCCTCCAATTGTCTGAGGGACAGCAACCTGGCCCCCAGCTCAAAAAGGTTGCCTACCCCTGCATTAAGCTAATGCGTTCCTGACACATTCCTTCATCTGTGATGCACTAGCCTTCTTCTCAGCACTCCCACCTCTAGGCTATCAGAGAATAAGGAATGGCCACAACTGTAAAAATCAGACATAGATAATACCTTTTATAAGATCACTGAACTGCCAGGAAAGAGGCATTTAACAGGATGAGCTTTCATGTTCTCTAGAAATCTTCCTCAGCACAAATTTAGGGAGATATGGGAAGAAATTAAAACTGCTATAGAAGAAAAAAAACTGGGCTCTGCAGTTCCTCACTTTAGCTTTAGCACATCATATCCTCTCTTAACTATCAAGTACCAAGAATTTGCAACCTACTTGTTTACCAAGATTCACTGGACAGGTGACAACCAAACATACCTATCTCCAAATTAAAACAATAGCATTTTAAAACACCTATAATCCCAGACTATAATTTGCAGGTGCCAAAAGAATTTGGCATGTAAGAACAAGCTTTTGTAGAGTTGGAACTGGAAAGGTGCCTAAATAATTAAGCACCACCATCACAATTATCATATTTTCTTCTTTGTTTTCCAAATATGGAGGCAAGAATTCACCAACTGCACACAAAAGAAAGTTTGCCACCTAACCCCACCACAAAATTAAGGGGGAGGAAAATAAAATGAAACCCCTCAAAATAAGTACCAATTATGAGAGTCCAGTTATAAAAGAGAGTCCTGACTCTTGGAGAAAAAAATGAGCTATAGGAAGTAGTGGTTTTATGGATGTCAGGAACCCTAAACCAAAGCATTTCAAACTGCAACATTCTGTTACAGGGTCCCATTTGTACTACCCTGTTCATGATATTTTCTTTCCATTACACCAACTGATATCTTAAGTTACCTTTTAGTACCAGTTTTTCCTTTCACAATTTTTCTTTCTTTTGACTGCACTCACTTTAATTCAAACCATTTATTTACATCATGAAACTAGCATGGCCACTTCTGTGTTGTCAAAAAAGAGGGCACTACCAAAAGAATAAGAGGAAGAAAACAGGGTGCTGATGAGCATGAAATTTACAATTACAGATATATGCACAAACATGTATATGTATAGAAGCAATTGTGGATAAAATAACTGTAGTTAAAATGGAAATATAATTCTACTCTAGTGAGTATGCATGTGTCTGGATGACCTCTGTGTCTGTTAAATCTATTCTCCAAGTGCTAACTTCTGACGGGCTCAACCTCTGTGTGAAGGAGATTTATTATTTATCAGCGAGAAGATGAAAAGGGCATGTTTGTCATAAATATTATTAAAAATAGATATTATAGGATTCTTCTGCAAATGCAGATTTTCATCCTAGGGCCACCAGATGGAGACAGTTTTATATATTTCCTCATTTTGTTCTTGAAATGTTCTCTCCTCGTTTGTTTCCATAGTTGCCTTGCTGTAATACAGTCTTGCTTTTATTTAATATTTATTTAATTAGATGTCAGCAACTAGATATTCTTGAGACAAATTTTTCCCCTTGAGTGATTTTCCTGGTTGTTAACCTACAAGTAAAAGAAGAGGGATACAGAAGGAACTGTAGATCTACTAAGAAATAAACAAACAAAAGTCAACGTTGTAGAGTTGGAGCCTTTGGCAACCACCACTCAACCCCTCTTTCCAAGTTTTGTTATGTATGTGCTGCCTCCTTTCAAGTCATTTCCAACTTATGGTGACCCTAAAGTGAACCTATGACAGTTTGTTTGTTTGTTTGTTTGGTAAACTTCTTCAGAGGGGGTTTGCCATTGCCATCCTCAGAAGCAAGAGAGTGTAACTTGCCCAAGGTCACCAAGTGGGTTTCCATGGCCAAGTGGAGATTCGAACCCTAGCCTCCAGAATCATAGTCCAGCACTCAAACCACTACACCATGCTGACTCTCTTTCCAAGTTTACAGTGAGGCAAAATCTATTCCTGCTTGGGGATCTCAGTAAATGATTATCTAAATATGGAATATTCACTTGCAGACATATGATCAAACTGTGTAAATCTATTCTTCAATTTAAAGTGTCTATATGTCTGTTATACTGTATAAATCTATATGTTTGACCAATAGATTCACCAGACTTGGACTGGCTTTCTGTACTAGGTCTGCCTTACACCTGCACATGTCCTTTATGGTAATTTTAGAGGCTGATATTTCTTTTTTTCCCCTGCACAGCCATTCCCTACCTACTGGAAAGCATGGAAGCCCTGGTGGCACAGTGGTTAAATGCCAGTACTACAGCCACAAGGTTGTGAGTTTAATCCCAGGAGGACTCCAAGGTCCACTCAGCCTTGCATACTTCCATCGGTTGTAAAATGGGTACTCAGCTTGATGGGGGCAATTGGCTTATACATTGTAAACTGCTTAGGGAGTGCTTAGTTCACTGATAAGTGGTATAGAAATGTACTTGCTATTGCTATTTCTATCTGTCTGTATCCCTGTAACCAAACACAAAATGATGACTTCATCTGCCGACAACTCCAGAGGACCCCAGCAGGCCTCAATGGATGACATAATGATTTCATATCATATCTACAGAGAAACAGCTACACGTCAGATGCTTCTCTGATCCCTGCTTTCCTGTTCTTTAGCAGACATGGGATCACTGTAGTGGAAGAGTGCTAGAGAGGCTCTACAGTAAATCTGGGTGACTGCCCCACTGTAGCATATTTCCATATGCAGAACTACACTGTGCTAAGCCATATTGCTTCTGGTCTTAGTGTGTTGTTGAATGTTATTTAATGGAATCATGACAAAGATAATAGTAAGAGATGAGAACATGGAACAATGGATTCAAACTGCAAGAAGAGATATTCCACCTAAACGTTAGGAAGAACTTCCTGACAGTAAGAGTTATTTAATAGTGGAATATGCTGTCCTCTCTGGACATGCTCCAGCTTATCACAAACTCATAGAATCATAGAGTTTGAAGAGACCTCAAGGGCCATCCAGGAACACAGAATCAAAGCACCCCCGACAGATGGCCATCCAACCTTTGTTTAAAAACTTCATAAAAAGGAGCCTCTACCACATTCTGAGGCAATGTATTCCATTGTTGAACAGCTCTTACTGTCAAGAAGTTCTTCCTGATGTTGATCTGGAATTCTCTGGTGCAGCTGAAAACAAGCTTACTCTATCCTCAATATGACACTCCTTCACATGTTTAAACAGGGCTATCATCTTATCTGCAAATTTGAAAAGCATGCCCTCTATTCTTTCATCCATGTCATTGCTAATGATGTTGAATAGCACTGGGCCCAGGACAGAAGCCTGTGACACCCCACTGGTCACTTATTTCCAAGATGAAGAGGAACCATTGCTGAGCACGTTTGGCCAGTCAACCAATTGCAAATCCACCTAACAGTAGCATTTTCTAGCTCACATGTTACTGTCTTGTTTGCAAGAATATCATGAAGGAACCTTGTCAAAGGCCTTACTGAAATCAAGATATACTGTATCCACAGCATCCCCTTCATCTACCAAGCTGGCAGTTTTATATATAAAAAAAAAGATAGATCAGGTTAGTCTGGCATGACTTGTTTCTCTGAAACCCATGTTGACTTTTTATGATCATGGTATTCCCTCCTAAATGTTCACAGAGCCTTTGTTTAATGATCTGTTCTAGGATCTTTCCTGGTATTAATGTCAGACTAACTGGACAATAGTTGTTGCGATCCTCTTTATTTTCCCCTTTTTGAAGATGGGGACAACATTTGCCCTGCTCCAGTCTCCTAGGACTTCTCCTGTTCTCCAGGAGTTCTCCAAGATTAAACAATGGCCGGTGAATATGAGATTACATCTGAAGTGTTCATCATCTCCAACAAAAGGATTTAAAACCAACAAAAGGACTTTAACAACACAGTAAACTTTTTTAACTTCCCTAATTAACAACCTGTAGAATTAAGGAAACTTACTATCTGATGGAGGCATTTTACTTCCAGTATCAACACCTCTATGATTGAAATAATGTGTAAATCAACTCCACATGAAAACAGATTTTAAAAAGGTAAACAGCACACACACACACTTTATTTTATTTTACAACAGTTATATGAGGAAGAGAATGGAAGATATTACCTTCCAGTTTATAGTATATGGAATATTAATTAACTTGATGAAGGTGGAAAGAAACAGGGACAAATAAGGGTTAACTTGGCTAACTACAAAAAAAATGAATTATTTTCTATTTTTTGAAAGCTGTCATTAAATTGTCAAAATGTCTACAGATATGAAATCAAAGACCAAACCACAGTCAACTGATTTGAATCAATTAATTCTAGAGGAATTAAGATAAATGTGACTACAGATGGTACAAATGAAATTTGATTTAAAGTAAAATTGGAAAATTAAAAATTCTTTGAAAGTGGAGCATGAATATGACACGAAGCAGTTAAAGCAATCCCCAAACCAGATGCCTTTAGAAGTGTGTGTGTGTGTGTGTGTGTGTGTGTGTAGACCAGGGGTAGGCAGCCTTTCCCCTTTAAGGGCCAAGGGACTTCAGCTCCCAGAATCCCAGGAGCTATTGGCCAACATGGGACTATTGGCCAACATGGCTGAGGCTCCTGGGAGCTGAAGTCCCTCAGCCCTTAAAGGGGAAAGGTTGCCTACCCCTGGTGTAGACGTTCATACAAAGTAATAATACCCATAATGGAGCAGTGGAGACTGATCTAGTGAGTGGAAATATTGTAAAAGGGAAGCAGTTAGAAAAAATTTCAAGAAAACCGGGGCAACAGAAGGAAGCAAGATTGATTGGAAGAATGAGGGATTGGTGAAATCCATGGAAAGTAATGCTTTTGTTGTGGAGAAGTAGTGAAGCTTGAAGAGTCAAAAAAATTGCAAAAGAGGAGTAGTCTGATGGAAGGGAGCAGTCTATCCAGGGAGAATACAGAGGGAAAGCTCCACTGTTTAAAACTTTTGAATAATAAGTTTATTTCAAGACTTCAGAAAGTTGAAAATTGGAGTGAGAACATATGTGAAATTGAAACAATTTTAACTGTCAGAAGATTGATTGGATCTTATATGGTTTTGGAATAATAAGTACAGGTGGCCTTCCATATCTGCAGGTTTGACTTTTGTGGATTTGATTTTTCACAGATTATTTCCTGCCACCTCTGTTGCTACCTTATGCCCGTTTAAATAGGATCTAGAAGCCTCAGGAGACTGAGAAAGTATGAAAAAGACTTGTAAGTTCCTATTAAAAATGGCAAAGAGAGCATTAAATCCCACCAGCTGCCCATTTCTACCTCACAATGACTCCTCCAAGGCATCCATGGTGGGTTGAATCTGCAGATCATACTTTTTGTGTGTGTTAAATATGGTTTCTGGTAGCATAGAGTTACTGGCAGCTTTTCCATTTTTGCAGGGGTTCTGCACCCCTAACCCCAGCAAATGTTGAGGGCTGGCTATACAGTGTTTTGAGATTTTATGCAAAAATGCATATCTAGAAAGAAATCTTATGTAAAATCTAAATAACTGTAATTGCTAGAATATTGGTTGGAGTCTATATAGTTCTGGAATAATAAGTACCATATATATTCAACTATAAGTCCACCTCATGTATAAGTCAAGGGCAGATTTTGGGGCCAAAATGATGGATTTTGATATGACCCATAGATAAACTGAGGGTAAAAGCATGTAGCAAAGGATGTAACAAATGAAGCAAAGGAAAACAATG